GAGACAAGAAAAAAAATGTCATAGGATTGTCCTGCTACAATGATGTACATGGTTAGATTTCTAAATTTCTGTGTAAAAATATGTAATTGTTTATTCCTATTTTTGAAAATATTTATTTTTATTTTTTATTTTATTTTTCTTCACATTCTGTAGGGATTTAAAGTTTAACATATCAATACTTGATGGAAAATACCCGTTCCATGTTATGTCTAAGATGTTTGATATTTAGACAGATAGTGAGGTTAAGCTCAACTGCCTATGTTATAGGATAATAATATCACTAAGCTTCTCTTCTAGAGAGTTAACAACTTAAGTTTTCAGACCAAAAATTAGAGAGAAAAAAGGGCTACAAGGATAGCCAACATTTTGGCCCTAGCCATTCAAGGTCAGTGAGGACTCATGACATAAGAGAACCTGTACTGTAACATCCTGTAACTCAGTTGTGTCCCAAATTTTCTGATCAAGGAGATTATGGGGCCACAGAGGAAAGTGATCAATGATGTATAATGCGCCTAAGGAGAGTCACCTAGAGAGAAAACATTCTCTCAGGCTTTCACAGAGAGCAAACTGGCCAGGCAGTGGCTGTGACCCATCCACATGGCTGACAGTGACAAAGGATCTACAAACTGTGATACAGGCTTTCAGGGTAAATCCTGAGGGGATTTGACTGACCTTGTCAGATATAAACATTACATTTGTTGTTATATAGGTCTTGCTTTATCTTGGTCTTAACCATCCAGCAGAAAAGTATAAAAATGAGGTATAAAAAGTAAAGCCATATTAATATGCTGAGCTGTAAAAGGCTCAAATCAACAACTTCAGAATGATACTTTTCCAACCATAAATTTAGTTAAGAATTTGCAGTGTGAGCTGGGGAGATAACTCAGCAGTCTAAGTTGGCAAGCACAAGGACTTGGATTAGATCCCCAGTTGCATGCCGTGCTGGCCCAGCACTGGCCACTGAAATCTGACATGGTGGTGCATGCCTGTAATCCCAGAGCTGGGGAGGCTGAAACACTCTTTGGAAGGAATAAATCCTCTTATTCATAAAATCAATTAATTTATATGTGAACACAGAACTGCTTATTTGCAAGTATTGAGTGTTAATGTCCATTCAATGTCTCCCTATGGATACAAGTATACTATATTGTTTAAAATACATAATAAGGCCTAATGATGAGAAGAAGAGGAGGAGGAGAAGGAGGAAGAAGAGGAGGAGGAAGAAGAAGAAGAACAACAACAACAACAACAACAACAAAAAGTCAATGAGGACTTCTATAATCCAGGAAAATCTCCTGCAAGAGGCAGCAGCGCAGAAGAATGAAAGGAAGAATGGAAAGGAGATAATCACTTCCTCTATTCCTTTACTATTTCTACTCCTAGACCTTCTCTGCAGGGAGAATTGTCTACTTCGATTAATTATGCTTTGGCCAACAGGAGAGGTGATTTCTATAAAATACTGTTATTCTGGTGAAAGTTTTTGCTATATTTGATCTAAGTGGAATTGTTTTGGGGTGTGTACTTTAAAAAATACGAAATTGTAGCAAGAATCTTGTACTAAGGCAATTTAATAGCCTTTAAAATCTCTGTTAAAGATCTGGATACATATGGAAAGAAACCCTGGGAGGAGGTCAGTTTTTAATGTTGAAACAAACTTAAGGTGTTTTAAAAACAAATCCCTCCCCTGTGGGCTTTTTTTATATACCTGAGAAGGCAAAATGTCATCTAGGTTGGTTATTATTTTGTTTTGTTTTTCTTTTGAGGCTCATAAGTTAAGTTTTTTCAGCCTTTCAAGGGTATATTTGTTCAGGACAGAGTTTAAAATTTTTGTTTCCGCTGTAAGCCTCTCCTTTCCACAAATATTATGACCGCTTTCTGGCCAAAACAGGAGATTTTCAGAGTTTCCTACTGGTTATTTAGGGATATCTTACCTTCAGGATAAAGCAGGAAAAAATTCACTAGTTTGGGCAATATCTCTGGTCACCAATTACCAAATTTATTAAGTGGTACTACAGTAGTTTAAAATAAGCTGAGTAGAAATGGATTTTCTTCCTGACCAGAGTAGGGTATGATCTACATAATAGGAATCGGATTTTCTCTGTAAACGTTGACAGGCGGGCTCTGCTGCAGTCAGACTCAGCTTGCCATCTCTACCTGAATACCAAGTGCCTCTGAAATCAGGTGTGGAGCTGGGCTGGGCTTGTGCAGAAGAGGTTTCAGCACTCCACCTCTGTACTCACATCCTCGTTCTTCCTGGACTCTTATAAACTATGCCAAATTGCTTTTTGCAAGAATGATCAGACTTGAAAACTTAAATGGTTGGCATTTATTAGAACTCTTCAGGAAGGAAGAGAAGAATCCCCACCAGCCAGAGACCAAAACTACAGGTTTTTATTTTATTGTATTTCTTTTATTGTACATCTTTATAAGATGTGTGCTGATGCCCGGTACAAAGAATAAAATTTGAGAGCAAAGCAGAGAAACTGATATCACACTTAGAAGAAAAGGGGGGACTTCATAAAACAACAAACTTCAAAGGCTCCATTTGATAACAACAAATGTGCTAACAACAATCGAAATGAAGACAACTATTTATTTTAAAACCAAGGGAATAACATTACTTGTTGAGCAAAACAGTTGAAGACCCCTAAAGGAATAAAAATGTGATACCTTAGAAGGACTAAAACATTAAGGGTTTCTAAAGAGGTGCTTCATGTTGAGAGGCAAACTTTCTACTTTTACTTATACAAATGCCAATTTTCCCATCAAATTGAGATTACTTTTTTTTTTTTTTTACTATATTTTAGTGCAGGGTCTACAGGGTCTACAGGGTCTCACTACACAGATCAGACTCATAGTGATTTGCCTGTTTTCCGCTTCCCAAGCACTGGCATTACAGGTGTGTGCCACCACACCCGGTCTCAGTTGTCGTCTCCGGGTGCCCCAGGGTTGGGGCCGGCACAGCAGGCCAGAATCAAACCTCTGACCCCTGAGTCTGCCTAAGCAGGTGCTTTAATCCACTGAGCTATTTGGATGGCCCCAGATTACTTTAAAAATTGAGACTAAAGCACATTTTAATAGTTTTGATGTGATGATCTGAGATGAGTTAGGGTAACAAAAATAACTTCCAAGTTTCTGATGTGAACAGTAAGATGAACTGTGGATGCTAATACCTAGGGAAAGTAAAACAAGGGCAAGAGTAGGTGAGCAGGGGGCTGGTGAGATGGCTCAGTGGTCTAAAGCACCTACCTAGAACAAGCTAAGCAAAGCACAGGGACCGCAGTTCAATCTCCCAGCACCACATGCCAGCCAGCCCCGCCCCCTGGTGGGCTGAGCTGGACACACACACACACACACACACACACACACACACACACACACACATTAAAAAAAAAGAGTAGGTGAGCAGATTTGGAGTTCATGTGGGAGCCTTTTGGGTCTGAAATGGCTGAGAAATTTGAGAGAAATGACAAATACATAGTTCAATACACAAGTTTGTTCAGTACTTCTGGAGCTGCAGTCTTGGTTGAATACATGATTGCAGATTCTGCCCAACACTGCACAGCTATGGAGAAATGACAGGGAAAAGAACCAGTCCTTCTGACTCCATAGTGGTGTTTGTTTGCCTAAGAATTAGAAATCAGGGAGGCAGGAATCTGTACTTTAAATATGGAAACCTACCCTCACTCTTCCTCTTTAAGTACTACTAATATAGAAAGTCTAGCAGTATTATATCTACTGCTGAAACAGTACTTTCTTCCAGGTAATCAAATTTAATTTATTTAAGCTACTACTCCAGCAAATTTCTGTGTCTCACCTTAATGGGATTGTCATGTATATAAATGATAATAATCTGTGAATGTAGCACATATACGGAAAGACAGAGAAAGAGGGAGAGAGAAAGAGAGAAAGAGAGAGAGAGAGAGAGAGAGAGAGAGAGAGAGAGAGAGAGAGAGAGAGAAGTACAGAAAGGGAAAGAGACAGAGACAGAGACAGACAGGGAGAGAACAAATTAATATTATGCGATTGATGATAGAAGAAACTCCAAAAGTTGCTAAGAAATAACACCCACAAGAAGTCAGGGCAAACGGAAGCTTTAAGGAGGGACAATGAACAGCTTTAAAATGATAGCTGGAGGCAAAATAAGTGGCAAAATGTAAAAAATAGTTTAAAATTTTCGGCAACCAAGGCTTTAGTGACAAAAAACAAGGCTATTTGAGCAAAGCAATAAGCACAGAAACTGGATTTCTCTTAGTTGAAATGAGACAGGGAATCTAAAACTTCAAGCACTTAGAAGTTTCTTCTAGAAGTTTATATCTGAAAGGAAAAGCCACAAAACAGCTGCAGAAAAGGAGTATATATCAGACAAAAATTTCACAGAACGTCAAATATTAGATGTGAACTAAGTTGCAGTTTGGGACAATAGTATTCCCAGTCCTCAGGAATGGAAGGTCTCAAGTACGGTTCTTGCTTCTGTGAAGCATCTCTCTCTAATACCGTCATCACTCGGCTCAGTCCCACATCCAGAAATCAACTTCCAGCCCCCAAACTGGAAAACATACTCGGAATATTGCACATTACAGCAGCGCTACCACTTAGAAGTTTTATCCTAATTTCTCCAGCAAAGTCCCATACTCAGTTCTACCCATCTGTTTGGTTCTGGCCCTTCCTGAGGACAGGGTGTGGCATCAAGCAGACCAGGTTAGTTCTATGGAGACCGAAGGCCGCCCCATTGCCTTTATCCTTTGTATTTAGGTAGAGGACCTAAAGATGTCTCCTTCATGCTCACTAAATAATTCAGACTCAATCCAGTTGTCACCTCCCCTCTGCAGCCTCCTTAATGGGGCTGTCTTCTGTCCTCTACATCTATCTCAGTAACACGCTTGCTTTTCTGGCCAGTGCCTTTTCCTGGACTTCATGGTTTCCCAACTTCCAGACTAACCTCTCCCTGTCTAAGGATGGCTGCTCACAGATGAAAACAACACACACGAGCGGGAATGCATTTTTTATGGGAAGTGTTCCAGAACAGAGAGGAATCGCTACAAGAGGGGGTGATGTTGTCAATATTCAAACTTCAGAGTAACTTGAAGTGTTTTTAACTGACAAGTTGGAATTGGAGCCATATTCCTTCTCTTCAGGGTTAGAACTAGGTGTTTATTCTCATAGAAAATTGCAGGCAGCACTTTAGGTTATTTTGGCAGGTTGAGTGCTGAATTTCATGTTTCTTGCAGTTGTTTCTGCACATCCCTTGATAAAGCTCACATGGATTCCAAGGTTCTTGGTTCCTTCCATAGTGGGGTCTGAACAGGCCACCTGTGGAGACAGAGCCATGTTTAGTTAGCATGCAGCAGTAACAACAGGATAAAGGAAGCCTAACTACAAGACCATAAACCCTAAGGTTATTAAGAGGCCAGAGCCTGGAGTCAGAACACCTGGACTCCATGTTGGATCTTATCATTGACTAGCTGCACCCTTGAGCACTCCTCCAGCTCCATGGCCTTCTACCACATCATTTCTCAGCAGGCATGATAATAGATTTAAGTTCATAAAGTTCTGTATGACTAAATTAGCATATGCTGTATAGCACACATCCAGAAAAGCATCTGGTATAGCAATTACATGTTACATGGATTTGCTGATTGTCTTTCCTAAGGGTCTAGAGTAGTGATGGCAAACCTTGTAGAGAACGAGTGTCTAACATGCAACTCCCAGCTCACTCAGTTATCACACAGTGCCAACACAGCAATTAAACCTGAACACTGGGAGTTCAGTTAAAAAAAAAAAACCACTCATACATTAACATCTTTTGTCATAAAAGAAAAACAGTAATAGAGCTTTCGATGATATAAACAGCTTTTCATTGGATGGCCAAAGTTTGGATTTGGCATGCTTTTGCACAATTAGTATGATCTTTGTTGTTGTATGCACACTGACAATTTGTCAAGATATGGCTCGGGGTACTTGGCTCATGAGTCGACAGAGAGAGACACACGTGCCATAAGTTTGCCACCACTGGTCTAGAGCTTCCGAGGCCACTACTGGGAGCACATATTGCACATCAAAAAGCCAGCATCTGCTGAGACAGGACACATATAGTTGACACATGTGCATACCTGCCTGTATGCTTTGAAACTTAGACACAAACATGTTTTACCCATGACTTCCTTTACCTGGGCCCCTCAGGAACAGGGAACATGTGTGCAGCACACTGGCATGTCTCCTTGACCTGCAGAGCCACAGTCACACGTAACCTGAGCCATTTCATCGTGCTGTCTGTTCAGGTCTCTGCCACACACTTCCACGTATGGTAAAAGACCGTCTTAACAGCTGTGCAGCAGCCATCCAAGTGTGTGCAGGTGCTTTGCCCGGAAATACCAAGTGACAAAGTTGCTGACATTTAGTCAGCATAAAAAATACTAGTGATCAAGAGCATTAGTTATCTATTGGTTCTTTCAAAGACAAAAGAGGTTTTAGAAAATAATATGAATAGTCCCTGCCATCCACCATGATGTCATCCAGCATCCACCATGTACCAGGCCTTATACGGATATTACTGTACTGAACTTTCAGCAAAATCTCTTTGAGGCTCAAGAAAAGACTCTGTTCTATCCACATTCCCATAGCTTGTCCTTGACCAAGCTCTACTCTGTGACTTGATTATAGGGCATCAGCCCATGTTCTTTTCTCTGTGTGTCACATTCCCTCTCTGTGACAGAATTCCACAGGGAATCTCTTCTCAAATCATGGCTGTGGGAATGGCTCCTCTACAGCTTTCAAAAAAACAATCCAAAACCCTTAACTTATCATTCAGAGACCTTACAACCATCCACACAGGCCCTCCTTGCACACCCACTTCTCAACCCTCATTATGTCAGGCTCTCACTGTACTCAGCTCCAACCACAATGAGGACTCCAGTTATTAAATAAAACTAATTCATTATAACCATTAATCAAGGAAAGTCTGTTATTATTTTCTGCATGGAAATTAAAAGAGAAATTTTGTCAATTTTTTAATAAGAAAAAGTGTAAGTTTCCAACTACAGGTAAAGATGGAGAACAGGAGGAAAAATACAAAAGAGAAAAATGCTTCAGAGGAAGACATCCGTAGTACTTGTGTATGAATGAGCTGCCCTAGAAAGCCAGGGAAAGCATAGGATTGCTACATCAGCCAGCCTGCTGGTTGATTCAAGGAAGGACACTGGCCACTGTCCATTCTTCAGCATCTTGGTATCATGGTACCACTGTGTGGTCTGCCTCAGCCTTCAAGCTCCTAATGTTCTCTCTCTCTCTCTCTCTCTCTCTCTCTCTCTCTCTCTCTCTCTCTCTCTCTCTCTCTCTGGAGAGCTACAGGCATTCCCAGAGTGACACTACATTCTACTGGACCTGGAGCACTTTTCCTTTCTCCCAAACACACTGGCTATAAGGTACCCAAGCTCTCTTCTCTGTAGACACAGAAAGATAGGTAGGAGCATAGAGACAGAATGAAGATCAGGTAAACAGCCTTCTCCTTACTTTCTTTACATAGCGACCCCAAAAGGATTTCACCCACAGTGACCAAAAATATAAATGGTTTTTATTATAAAGCCTTTTTCATATATATGAATGATAGGCTCTGAACCCTTTCTAACAACTCCAGCTGGACCCCATGTCAGTGTGATACGTTATCTCTGTACCATCTCTCATCTCTGCACCCAGACAGGAGCCTCCCCATTTAACTTCTAAGATTTTTCTTTCCTGTATACATTTAGTAGCCATAGCCATTTATACATTCATTCATTCAATAAACATTTGTCAAAATTTACCCTACCCAAAGACTTCAGCTCAACAGCAAGAATACATGAAGTTAAGACAGAGTCTTCGGGGCCGGGGAGATGACTTAGTGGAATAAGTGCTTCCCTGGCAAGCGCAAGGGCCTGAGTTCAATCCCCGGTTCTGAAAAAAAAAAAAAAGGTCTTGAAATCAGAATAGTTTGATTTCATATGCATATTTGAGGGTGATAAAAAGAAGGAAATGACTTTGATTGCCCCAGTGGAAAAGATTATCTGGAACATTTCCTTTCCATAAACTCCACCAAGTGAAATATCAAATAGTTATTAAGGAAGCAACATTATGTACAGTTTTTGAAGCATGGAGTACTCTCTTCACTTTTCAGTGTATGTGGTTTTGTTTTGTTTTTTTTTTTTTACAAACCCACCTGTGGTTTCTACTGGTTTCTCAATGTGGCAACTGAATTTTATAAGCAGAACAAATGTGTTTCAAACAATAGAGTGAAAGAAGATGAGAAATAAGTGGGTAGGGAAATAAGAAGAAGGTAGATGGAAAAGGAAGAAAAAAGTAAATGAGAAAATGTTGAAGGAAGAGAAAGAGGAGGGCCAAAAAAACTCTAGACACAATGCTTTGAATTACACTTCTCTCAGAAAAGAACAAGTCTAGTTTTCCACAGGGCTGGACTGAGACTCTCTCTGTTTCTCTGTGAATCCCAAGATTTGGTAGGACATACGTGAGAACGTGTCAGACTCTTGATTTCATTTGTCTTCACTGCCTACAGCTCTACTGTTCCTTTCTGTCCCTGAAAAGTCACACTCAAGAACATTCCTTAGAATTTGAAAATAATACTAGATATTTTGACTAGTATTTATTCTTATTTTTAAAACCGTTTTATTGATATGCAAATACAGTATATATTTTATTTATCTATCTTGAAGAGTTTGGAAGAAAATACCCACCCATGCAACCATCATCACAATCTATGCTACAAACCTCTCCATTACCTTCAAAGATTTCATCCCCCTTTATCATTGAGTTACTTTTTGTTTAACAAATATTATGTTAAGATTTAATTTTCAGCAATTTAAAAAATCTACAGGATGATGTTGTTAAGTGGCACGCTGGGGGAGGTGGCGCAGGCCTGTAATCCCAGCACTTGGGAGGCTACAGAATGAGGACTGCTGTGAATTGAAGGTCAAGACCCTGTCTCAAAAAAACAAGCAAACCAAAAATTGTTATTAAGTAAGAAGTATACAGCAGACTTTGTATACAAACTCATGAGCGCATAATCTCAAAGGGGCATAACCTCAAAGGTGTTGAGATTATGGTGTCGGGAAAATCAGAGGATATCATGCAAAATAATGAGATTGACCCTTATCTTCCACCACATACAAAAGTCAACTCAAAATAGATTATAAACTTAAACTTATGATCTGAAACCATTAAACACTTAGAAGAAAATATAAGGAAAATCTTTCTAACACTGGGCTTAGCAATTCCTTGGATATGACTTCAAATCACAGGGAACAAAAGCAAAACTAGACAAGTGAGACCGTGTCAATCTTAAAAGCCTCCACACAGAAAAAGGAACTCATTAGCAAAATGAGAAAGCAACCTCAGAAGGGCATAAGATTTTTCAAATCACGTACTTGACAAATGGTTAATATTCCTCCATTCCAGTAGCCACAGACCTGCTATGGTGAAAGAATTAAACTTTTATCAAACTTAATCAAAGCCAAACCTTGGCCAAGCCAGCACATCCTCAGGAAGATATTACATTTGCCCTACCTGACCCAGTTGCCCATGTGGTGAGCAAAACACCTAACTTCAACTCAAGACCCATATCTTCTGATAACTTCTCAAATCCCAATTATAAAACACAAACACAACACTATAAAAACATTCAATCCCAATTCATGCATCAATCCAAAACATAGTCCAACTATAGAACTTTCTCCCAACTTCATTTACCCAGCTCTCCCCCTAGCTTCACTCAACAAAAGATACTGTTCCCTCTCCAGAATACACTAAAACATCAGTCAAGCCAAATTCTGTGATTATTCACCGCGTACTCATCCCCCCTCGTTTTCCCGCTATGACTCTGCCTCTGGGACCTATAACCTCCCACTTCTACTCACTATCCAAAGTCAAATGGCCTTTCATTCCTCCTACGGTTTCCCACTTGGACTGAGTCCCTTAAACTTCACCCATGAGCCAAGCTCCCATCCCAGTGGCAGCACTACCTGCAGTGCTCCATGCTTCAACTCCTCACTATCCCTGGGACAAGATTAACCTCTAAAATTTCCCTTGGCAGAGAAAAACCAGAGGAGGTATTTATGCAATGGGACTTGGGGATAGCATGTGCAACCTACCTGGGACCAGAAAAGCCTTTAAGCACTGCCCAATATACACGGGTAAGAGTCATCTCAGAAGTCACTGAGATACCAATACTACATGAAAGATTCAAGAATCTTTGAAAGAAGCCTGAGTTACCTGAAGTTTTCTGAACCAAGATAAGAAGGATGGCAATGGTCATTAAATAGGACTTCATAATTGATATGCCGCAAAATGAAGAGCTGTGTTGCAAGTGACTGAATAGAGACCACTGGAGCAGAGTGATTTCTTTCCTTTATTAGTTTTGGATGTGAGCCAGCGTTGTGTGCGATGAACTAAAAAGAATGGATGATGCTGAGGTTAATCAAGCGGAAGGGTGACATGCATCACATATCTCAACTCAGAATTTTGCATAAGTATGAAAGAATTTCCTGAAACCCTCATGCCAAGGTAGGAAGCTTCCTGAGCAAGAAACAAAGCCATTGTATTCTGTGTGAAATAAATTTGAAAGAAGGAATGAATTCAAGCAAGCAAGCAATGAGAAAACTAATACTTAACTATAATAAATCACTTTTTAAACATGTATGTTTACTGTAGTAACAGGAAAAGAATGGTAAACGCTATCACAGAAATATAACACTTCTTAGTTGAACATACACACAGAAGCCAAAAAAATCCCTACTGAAGTAGAAAATCACCAAACCACAAAGATAAGCAAAAAGAAACAAAGAATATGCAAAATAAGCAGAAAAAAAAAAAAAACAAATTAATAGGAGTAAGCCCTTGCCTGTCTACAATGCCCTTCAGTATAAGTGGCTTAAGCTCTGCAATTAGAGATTTAGCCTGACTGAATGGAAAAACAAACGCAGTCTATAAGAAACTCACCTCACCGAAAAAGATGCGTTCACTGAAAGTGAAGTTATGGAAGAAGATGAAAGCCAAGCCCAAAAGCCCTAGAAGGACAGCAATAGCAAAGACCAGAGATGAGTAATAGGAACTAAGAATTACGAAAGTCAACAAAACAAACATTTATTTAAAAAGAGAAAACAATACGTTTTAAGACTGGATTAAAAAGAGAGAAGACCCAAGCAGATCAAATCAGAAATGAAAGCAGAACCACTACTATTGATGCCACATTCAAAATCTTTTTGTTGTTGTTGTTGTTCTCACAAACACAAAACCTGCCAAAAAGCAGCCCTCAGCAATTACATGAGTACTGATTTATTTATTTATTTTTATGTATTTGGTATAGGGTCTACAGGGTCTCACTACGTAGTTTTGACTCATAGTGATCTTTCTGTTTTCAGCCTCCCAAGTGCTGGGATTACAGGCGCATGCCACCACAGCCCCACAGGCAGGAGCGGGGCAGCATGCTGGGGATTGAACCCTGGCCACCGCACTCTGCCTAAGCAGGCGCTTTAATCCACTGAGCTATCTGACCAGCCTATATGAGTTTTGAAATTAGCCACCAATCCTAAAGTGAGTATTGACACTGATGGTCTGTAACTGTTTGATATCTGTCATGCTGCAGACTGAACCTGGAAGAATACGGCTCTCCCACATCAGTGAGAAACAAAACGGACACTTTTTGCAGACTGTACTTGCTATCATTTCCCCAAGTTACGTAATTTGTTGTCAAATTCATGCCAGCTAAGATGAAATATCTAAGTGAATTTACACAAGGACTGTCAAGGTGTGGTGGACTCAGGAAATGCAAGTCCCAGTGTCTATCCAGGGACTCCCATTCACGATTCAGAAACGTGAGGACTGCAAGATAGCTCGGTGGACTAAATGCTTGCTTAAGCAAGTGCAGAGACCAGGGTTCAATCCCTGGCACCACATTGTGCACTGGCCCTGCCCCCAGGTGCGCTGAGCAGGCCTCCAAGTCAGGGAGTGGTGGCACACACCTATAATCCCACTGCTGGGGAGGCTGAAAACAGGAGGAAGATCACTACTGGTCCGAGCTGCATGGTGAGACCCTATACCAAATACATTTTAAAAGAGAAAAGAGACTTCCTTAAATTAGAAAATTGAACATGAAAAAGAGCACTATAAGAATATAGAAGTTGCTTAGCATTCTGAGAAGCTGAGACAGGAGGAACACAAGTTTGAGTCCAGCCTGGACAACTTATTGAGACACTGTCCCAAAAATAAAACAAATAGAAAAAGGGCTGGAGTTGTAATTCGGTATGAAGGCCTTGGGCCTGATCCCAGTAACACACACACACACACACACACACACACACACACACACGAGGAAGATTACTACTATTTTTGCCTTCCAGTTGTACACTGACATGACTTTCCACCTGATCAGCAATCTGACTTAAAGGGAGTATAATAAAAGCCTTGGAATATTAACATTCTTTTTAAAATTAATTTTATTGAGAAAAAAATAGCAATGAGACAGTTTCAAAACTGATTAGTAGGACAGATTCAATAATTAATACATTGCATATTGCTGTCTTCGTAGTGGTTATTCATAGTACAGGATGCAGACATGACATCCTGTCCAAACACTATTAGTACAAATCTTTCTTCTCATTGAATTAAGAGAAAGTAGCTGCATATCTATCCTAACTATTTTGTATATGCAGATACAAAATGGTCCTCCATTTGTATCCCCTTTTTTTGTTTAGTTTTGTCAGAGATGAGTATTCCATTGTCATTTAAATATTGTAGGTGTGTGAATTCAGCAAAATAATCCAATATAATCCAGTAG